GGACCGGGACCAGGTGGTGCCCTTTGAGGAGCCAGAGGAGGAGGTGCAGAGGAGTCAGAGCAGGCACAGACTCCTGCAGAACAGTCTGGTGGGTATCACAAAAACAGCTCCTTCCAATATCAAGACATCAGCTGACGACTCTCACGTTTATTGTTTTGGCGGCGGGGGCGCATGGATGTTTGTATCTGTGTGTGCCTGTATGTCTGTGTCTATATGTCAGGTTGGGTGTCAGGCGCCACCTCTCTGGGGACATCTCAGGCCCTCCAAGGTTTGGAGGCCTCTCTCCCCCCACCACCACTCCCCCTGCCAATGGCGGACTCCCTCAGACATCGGTGCGTTGGTGGTTCTCTCTGTCCGGTGATGGGCGTCCAGGTACACACCGGCTCACTCCTTGGTGGCCGCTTGTCCGGGCCTGGAGCCTGGGGCTCGCTCGGGCCACTTCGGAGGTGGGGTGCCCCCGGCCTCTCGGCCTGGGGCTCGGTCACTCAGGCACAGCTGGCTGCCGGCGGAGCTCACGGGCGCGTCACTGCAACCCCCCCCTGGCTTCTGCTCCGCGGCTGCTGAGTGAGCCCTCATCTGGGACTCTCCTCAGCTCTTTCTGGGACAGTGGCGCAGCTGCCCCTCTGTTGGTCTTCCTTGGTCTCTTGTGTTCTGGGGGCCTCTGGATGTCTGGAGTTTTGATCTCCTCCATACCTGCTTCATGCCCTGGAGGACGGGGCTGTGGCCCCCCCACACCCTCTAGCAGATTATTACATGAAGGAACCTTTTAAAAAAACAAGCGCGTCCATGCTCACAGGTGTACACACGGGTGATCACACCCACAAACTACACCCTTTTTGGCTCCTACCTCAAAGCACACTGTGTTCTGTTGATCTTATGTGCTGCACAATAATGTTTAATATTTAGTATTTACTGTCATATTCCCATATATCATTGTGATGTTGTTTATTCTATTACTCTTGTTCTCTTCTGCTTGCTTTCTTTTTTCTTTCTCAACAGGTGATCCAGGTGATTGATATTTGTATCTTTTGTCTGTTTGTTTTGTTGGTTTTTGTTTTTTGCCCTTTATCCCCGTCCCTCTTCTCAGCTGTTTTTCTTTTCCCCAGTCATGTCTGTCCCGTGTGTAGCAAGTGAAAATAAAATAAAATAAACAATAAAAGTAAAGGTGAATCAAATAGACCAATACGGCAAGGCTGGGATGGTCCATTTGGTAAAGAGCACAATGGATTAGCAGTCAATCGCCTTAACCTCTCGGCCACCTGGTACAGGGACTCTGGCTTCACCTCATGCTGAGTCTGAGCTCAGATGGTAGAGTGCTCGATGCCCGCCTGCTCCGGCAGACCGGAGATATCCTGTCCAGCTGCAGAGCTTTCCTCAAGGAGCCGTTGGCGGTCGGGTTCAGCAGCACCGTGAGCCTCTTCGAATGTGTGCAGCTGTTTACTGCCCATCCAAACCTGTCGTGTCCTCCAAACCCGAGAGTCTCGAGTCCACGACACTGCAGAGCTGCAAGAGTGCGAGTTTCCTGTGATCTTCTGCAACTGCAGCACAAACTTCATCACTGTTTCAACAACAAGGCTGCAGCGTGAAATATAAGACATGTAGAGTTCATCTATCACCCACCGGCTCGCTCATGCTGAGAGAGAGCACTGCAACATCTGCGCTAACAGCCCGCAGGCTCAGCACTCAGTCAGCAGCCCATCTCAGCCCGCCTTGCGGCATGGAGGAGGTGGCTGAGAGCTGAAGCCAATGAACCGCCAGTCCTTTGTGCTCTGCACGTGTGGATTTGACTCCCATCCTTGTGAGGGTGGTTCAGAGTTACGAGCTTCAGGATGTCCTGACTCCCGGGTGATGCTGGCTTTGTTAGAGCAGACAACAGTTAGCTTGCAGTTGTCTGATCTGTTTCCTCCTTGAACATCGTGACGCAGAGTTTTTATTTATGGCGTCCTTCGTCATAACCAGGTTATTTTTTTAATTTCTGCAGATGATGAAAGACTTTTATTTTGAAATCCACCTTTGTCTGTAAATGAGTTTCCACTCGGTCTGTTTGAAGTCATCATCAGGATGATCTTTGGATGAGCTTTATTTAAACTGCTGCAGGTGAACAAACACATGACCCTAAAACAAAATTGCGTCAGACGATCTCCAATCTTCCTGTTCTGTGCCCCAGCTGCGCTCACAGAGCGACGCCCACCAGAGGAGCCTCGGCCACTTCAACAGGAAGTTACGGCAGCTCAGCAGGTCCACGCACAACATCGACCAGCTGACTGTGGAACAGCTGAAATTCACCATCGAACTGCTGAGAGCGCTGAACCAGCTGCTGCACACACAGGTGCGCACACACAGACAAACACACACACACACAGAGACAAACACACACACACACAGAGACAAACACACACACACACACACACACACACACACACACACACACA